AACTCCTTTATAAGTTCTCATCCTTCTACCCTTGGCACGTGGGCAGGCCCAATGGTTCACTCCTTTGACCTTTTCTTTCTACACTACTCCCTACGTGATATCATCCTGTCTCATGATTTTAAACATCACCTATACCCTGAGGACTCCAAAATTCACATCTATATCCCCAACTTCACCACTGCCTGCTCAGCATCTCCACCTAAATGCCTACAGGGCATTTCAAACATGACTGGCTCCGGATCTCCCTGCTCCCTTCAGACATCCGCTGAAAGCTATCCTTGCTCCAGTTTTCCTCATCTCAGTAAGGGCAACTCCGTCTTTCCAATTTCTCAGGCCAAAATTCTGGAGTCATTCTTGGCTCCTCTCTTCCCATACACCTAATCAGGCTCCATCAATAAACTCCTGCTGACTCTCCCTTCAAAACATATGCAGAACTGAACTATTTCTCACCATCTGCCCTGCTATCGCTCTGGCCAGAGCTGCCATCATCTCTTGCTGGGGTGACTGTATTAGCCTGTTTCCATTCTTGCTGTTCTACAGCTTACTCTCGGCACACAGCCAGACTGACCCTGTTGAAAAGGTAAGTCAGGTCAGGGGACTTCCCATTTCACTCAGAGTAGAAAGTCCAAGTCCTTACAAGGACACATTAGTCTTAAAAATCTGGCTCCCATTTTCTCTCTGACCTCATCATGACCACTCTTGCCCACACTCACTCTCCTCCAGCCACAAAGGCTTTGCTATTCCTCCAGGATACCCATCATTTAATTGACCTCAGGACCTTTGTACTTGGTACTCCCTCTGCCAGCAATAATCTTTCAAACATCCATATTCCTGCATTCCCTTACTCTCTTCAGGTCCCTGCTCAATTGCCACCTCCTCAGAGAAGCCCTTCTTGACTACCTTCTATGAAATCTAATCACATTTTGCTCTAGTCCCTTACTGGGTTGAAATCTCTTCATAGGACATATACATATAGCCATTTCTTTATTGTCCATCTCCCCCACTAAAATATAAATTCTTTTAGGACAGGAATTTTGTTGCCTTTGTTTATTGCTCCAAGCCAGTATCTACAACAGTGCCTGGCACATAGAGCCAGATATTTGTTGAAAGAACCCTGAAAGCCTGAATTCACTTTAAGACAATTCAAAGTTTACCTATACTATACACAGTGGTCAGTAAATTCATAAGGTGTATTACTCTCATCCTAGGACATAAAGAAAAATTTTCCATTTCCAAATAGTAAGATTAAGATAATCTCATTGATAGATCTACGGTTGGTTATAGGCATTCACGGAGACCTTCTTAACCACTAAAAATGACATCAAGGCTACAACCCATGCCCTTCCACAATGCACCCCCGATACAACTATCACAGATAGGCTCTTCTCTCCCAGAACTATTTATGTTTTTTATCCTAGCTAGAACACCCTTTCGGATGAAAAATAAATCCAGATGCCAAATTTCTTGAACTTTCATGACTCATCTAGATTTATTCTTTATAAAAGGAACATGTTAAATGGGTGACTACTGATCAATGTTTACCTCAATTCATTTTAAACAAATTCTAAATCAGGGTTTTAAAAGAAGTACTTCTTTTAAATCTTTTAAAGATTTGAGAGCAAGCATGGGGGGCAGTTAGAGGTGTGGAGAGACAGAGAGAGCAGAATTCCAGATCAGGGAGCCCCAACATGGGGCTCAATTCCAGGACGCTGGAATCATGACCTGAGCCAAAGGCAGACAGAAGCTTAACCGACTGAGCCACCCAGGTGCCCCATAAAAAAGTACTTCTGAACTGAAGATGATCCTCCTTTTACCAACATAGCAAGACTAAAAAGAGGCTGATATCCACAGCCAGGAAGAACAATATGAGACTGGAATCCCATTTATAATTCTCTTTTGAAAGATAATTAACTTAAAACCTCAAGATTTAAACCTATAATTGAGCAATTATTTGCAGTGTTGGTTTTTTTTTTAATGCAAACAAGGTGGAAGGTGAACAGTAAGAAAATGGAGACATCACACTCATTGGAGATAAACACTCTTATTAAAAGAGGCTAGTCATTTTATAGCCTCTTACAGAATAAAAACAGCCAATAAATGAAACACCAACAAACTAAAATTTCCTTTGTCAATTTCTGTTCATCACAGTCTCAAATGCCAAAACTCTGAAGTGAAAACTTCTAGTTATTTCCTGGCCAAGAAGATCATGTGCTATAAGGAAATTCAAATTAATATCTTCCATAGAACCTAGATCAGCTGGACAGAATGACTCTTAGATACTAGAAACAGCAAAAGCGACAAGTAGTAGCAATGACATCTCGAAATTCAGAAGAATAAAGTCTGCTGGGATGCATGTCAGGATTTCACTAGGTTATTCACTATACAATATGAATATCGCTGATGGGGTAGGAGTCTTATAACCAGAAGCAGGTAGAAAGATGGGAGTAGTTAGATGCAGAAACAGAGATGTCAATCCAAAGGGATTTACAGACCTTGTGATGGTTTTAAAATTTTGACTGCAACCTATTACTCTTAATGTGACAGCAGGAAAAAAAAAATGTTTTAAGTAATTTTACTAATAGTGAACACCTATTAAGTGCTGGGCACTGTAGGCATGTTAAATGGGTCGCCTTAATGAAATCATTAATAAGTGTCATTTAAGGATTTAGTGACAATCTGTATAACACAAACTCATCTGTCTAGCACTCAGCTGTTCAGCAACCTTCTCTCTCTGCAATGTGGTCAAGAACCAAGAAAGAAGCAAAGACAGCCATAATCAGATTCAGGTACTAGCCTTCAGGGGTTCACTTTTGCGAGAAGCCCTCACTCACAGGACCTTACAGAGAAAATTGCATTGAATTTGGAACCAGAAATCTCAGGACTGGACAGGCTTAAGATTCCAAAAGCAAAATAGCCTAAGGAAAGTCATTCAGCTGTTTATCTCCTTATAAGCCAGTGGCTTATCTGATAGCATATTGTAATAATTCCTTTAGGGCAAGGATCCTGATGTGTTCATTGCAGTACCGCCAGCATGGAATCGAGTTCTTAGAGCATCATATGTGCTCCATTTTCATTAATGATGCTTATAATGATGCTCCTCAGTGATCAAAAAGACTAAATTACATTGGCTATATTCAACAAAGAGCAAAAACACATTTGAAAAGATTCTCATCCACTGTTAACATTCAAAGAAAGGTTAGAAGATTAAAAGAGGAAGATCCTCAGCTGTCCAGAAAAATTGATTATTGAGAACTTATTGCACAACCCGAGGGTCCCAGGAAACTGAAGTTTCAGGAAGTGCACACAATACTCTATTCCCTGCTGGAGGGCCAAAGCATCCTGATCCACACTGCCTCCTGAGGCTATAAGCCAGGTGGAAAATGGTGATCTGTAAACTCACAACCAACTGCAGCTCCCTACAGAACTTTGCTCAGAACAGCAGCTTCCAGCTTAATGGAAATGTCTGTTAAACCCCTTAACGGGGGGCGCCTGGCTGGCTCAGTTAAGTGTCTGCCTTCAGCTCAGGTCATGATCCCAGAGTTCTGGGATCGAGTCCCACGTCTTCTGGCTAACTGCTCACTGGGGAGTCTGCTTCTCCCTCTCCCTCTGCTTGTGCTCTGTTTCTCTGTCTCTCTCAAATAAATAAAATCTCAAAAAAAAAAAAAAACCAAAAAACCCTTAACAGGATATCCAGAATTGAAACAACTCTGAACGGGTCTACAGATACGGCACTCATCACCCACGATTATGGGAAAGTATGAAATAATTTACCTCACTTCTAAAATCATATAGTTCTCACCACTTACAAGCCTGTTCTGTCTGGGGGACTGCTGACCAGCTGACTGAAAGTGGATAGGCTAGGCAAGGAATGCACAATTTGGGGTACAGAGGGACCCTGGTGAAACATTGACGTGAAGAAGAGATGAATGTATGTGCTCTAACTTTAAATACATAATTATTCGATTTTATGAAGTCAGTTCCATTGTAAAAGGCTGCCAAGTAGTTGAGGCTCTATCATTCAGGATTAGTGATAAAATGTGTTTTGGAGAGGACCCCTCCTCCCTTTTAAGTTGAAAGTGGTTTTTTAATATTACAAAGAGAAAATAGATGTGCTGACTGGTGTTTAAGATCTTTCTGCGTGGAAACTTTCTGACAGGACCACGAAACTACTATTCCCTGAGCGGTGACTTCTGAGCTGACTCTAGGATGTACACAGCCTTCCAGAGTCGTTGGGTTTTTGTAACCCCTGGAAGAGGCACCTCCAGGCAAGGCTAGAGGAGCCAAGAGGGCACCACACCACCTGAGCAAGCCCTGAATGAAGGAAAGCACAATCTCTAGAGAAACTTGTTTCCTGTCGCTGCTGAAAGAGGTTGGACTCCCTCCTTCTCACACGGCCTAGCTCGGCAGCTGGCCACAAGCTCAAGGGGCTTTCGGGGACAACCGCTGCATGGTGCTCCCTTTTCCTCCCTTTGACCACTGTCATTCCTGTACAGATAACGGTACCCGAACGCCCTCCACTTCCTAGAGTCATCATTTATGTTATGGTTCCTCTTTCAAGAAAACATGGGGACAAAACGCAAAGCAAAAGAACAGACTAAAAGCAAATCACCCCATCATCTCCGTTTATCCCTCACCATTGTTATTGTAAAAGAGCTGGATCAGATTCCTTTTGTTGCCCTAAACACACACAAACGCACAAAAGTAGGTGAAGGGCACCCTGAGACAGTTTTTTGTTTTTGTTTTTTCCCGCCTCACAGAAAGCCTTTACGAAGCCCTCATACCATCTCCGGACGCAGGACTTCCACATTCTGCTAAAGACCTAAACGACCTAAACCATTTCAAGCCAAGGTACGAAGAGCCGAAGCGGTCCCCAAAGCAGAAGGCTGGGAGGCAGGGCAAGCTGAGCGCACCTAGATGTTTGCATTTACACAAAGAAATTAGCCGGATGATTAATGGGAGATGCCGGCTGGAGGCGGAGGCGCCCGCGCCGGCTCCCTTACCTGGGACATCTGCGGCCTCAAGTTGATCTCCTTCAGGTTGATGGAGTGCGCCCGGAGATTGTTGAGTAGCTGGCAGAGCAGGACCCCATCGCGGAGGGTCTGCGCCAGGTCAAACACCTGCGCAGAGTCCCAGGTCACCCGGTGGTTGGCGGGCAGCACCTTGCAGTGGATGAGCCACTGCGCGCACTGCTTCCACGGCTCCATGCCCGACGGCTCCGGTGCGCGGCCCGGCCGGGAAAGGCGGCGAGGATGCGGCTGCCGCCGCCGCTGCCGTTCCTCCACGCCCCGCCGACGCCAGCCGCGGCCGGCCCCTGCCCTGCGGGGGAGCGGGGGAGCGGGGGAGCGGGGGAGCGGGCGACGCGGCCGGCGGGTCGGGGGCTCCGCCCGGGGCTCGGGTCCTGTTCCGGCCCGGCTCCTCCTCCGCCCGGCCGCAGCTGCAGCTGCAGCGAGTCCCGCGCGCTCTCCGTGCGCCCCGGCCGGCTCGGCGGCGGCGGCGCACAGGCTTCCGACTCGCGAGCCCGGCGCCCGGCGACTGAGCATGCCCAGCGCGCCGGCCGGTCTCGCTGCCGTCTGCGAGTCCCCAGAGGCGCGGTGGGACAGCGCCGCCGCCCCGGCCTGGGGTCGGTGCCCGGGAGCCTAGCGCCCCCGCCCACCTCAAGCCCGTAGGTTTGCGGAGGGTCCACCCCCCCAACCCCACTACGGGCGTCTGGGGATTTTTCCCTCGGGACGGCTTCCCGCTTTGGGGAAAGTGGGGCTGAACGCTGTAATACAGAGGGGCTCCTACTGGGGACCCCCCCCCCCGATGGCGACTGCAATTTCTTAAAGGGTCCGAGGGGAGCGAAAGATTAATTGGGGCACCAGGACTTCCTGGAGAAATGAAAAAAGGGCCCAGAGCATCTTGAGAACGCCGTGCTGAAACTTTTAGAGATCGTCACCCCTCACCCCTTCCCGTTCTAGCCCCTAAATTCTCTTCCGGCAGATAATTCCTGTCTCCCAAGTTAGTTGCTGGTAAGGATGTTCTGGCACCTTAAAAGTGTGTTGTGGAGACGCCTGCGGAAACCTACCCCTAACCCCCGAGCCTATTTCGACGCCAGGTGTCTCTCACTTAGAGACGGTTTCTCTCTCAGCCCCGTAACTGTTCATCGCCGCCGCAGTCCTGACACTTCTGACCGCACAGAAAGCAGCGAGGGAGAAATAGGCCGGCGAGACGCCCTTGGAGCGCAGGCGGCCACCCGCGCATGCGCCGGTGACCCGGGACCAGGTTGGAGAGCAATTAGCGTCGGTCCTCAGCTGCGCGGGTCGGGCCCACCTTTGGGCCCCTTAGAGAAGTTGGAACATAACCCCAGATCTCAGAGCTGACTGAAGCAGCGCATTAATATTTCCTGCAACCTCGGGGGACTCCAGATTGGGCCGCTTTTACTCCCACTGCCCCTCAAAACCAAAGACAATGTTTAAACTATTCATGGCAAGATACTACCACGTTGAACTACTGTTCTTTATAAATGTGGTCGTGGCTCGCCCTTTCCAGATGTATCCTTCTAAATTTTGAAAACAAAAAGTGGGGTTTTAGATATTTTTATTACACTTCCGTAGCTCAAATTTTCTATGAACCATATTTTTATGAGAAAGAAGGTGGAAAAAAATTTTAAGTATATCTTATCTGTTAAGGACAGGGACTGTGCCTTTTTCCATTAGCCTGTGAAAATCGTAGCACACGGTGTACGCTGAGCGTTAAACAATAAATCAGCCGGAGGATTTCCTTTCCTCACATGCATCCTTCCCCAGCAATTTCCCCTTGTGTTCAATCCAGATTACAAGAATTGCACCATGTTTCCTAAACTACAGTTTTGGCAAATAAATCATACTAAACTTTACATATTTTTAGAAACAAAATCCAACACATCTGAATCACCACATAATACATGATCCTGCGTGAAGAGAAATTAAATTGGAAAAGAAATTACATTTTAAAAACATAACTAGAAGTATAAATTTCATTTCAGGTAGCATTAGATCATCCTTGGGTTTTGTAGAACATTTCCAAAACCCAGATAACATACACTATACCAAGAGGCAGAGCTGGGTTTAGGGCTTGAGCTTGGCTAGTTTCTAGCAACATGACCTTGAGAAAATTGCATAACGCCTCCACATATGTAAAATGGGAAAAGTAATCCCTTGTAGTGTTGTCCTCAGGATCAAATGATACAATACCTTGCTCTTCAAAATGCAGTCTGTGGGCCAGCAGCACCACCCAAAAGCTTGTTAGAAGTGTAGACTCTCAAGCTCTGCCCCTAGACTGAATGAATCAGAGTCTACCTTTTAACAAGATCCCCAGGTGACACGTATTTATGCTAAAGTCTGAGAAGCACTGATATGATGCAGAAAACGTGGTGCCTAACAGTAAGAGCTCCATAACATTAACCAGTAGCTTTTGGTTCATAAAAAGGCAGTAGTGACCAAATTCTCTTTATTTTTTTTATAATCCATATATATTGTAATATATATACTATTACTTCAAAACATAATACTTCTCAAATACAGTGAAACAGAGAGTGGAGAGAAGGTCAAGAGGAAAAACTATGGAAGGCCTAGAAGGGGGCTAGTAGAAGCGCAAGGTTCTTCAAGTAAACAAGGAGGTGAATGGCAAATTGTGAGTCACGTCTAACTCATTAAAGTGTCAGAAATTGGGCAACAACAAAAATGGGCTTTTTTGAGCTGTCAGCAGAAGTCATTTTCTTTTAAAATCTTACTACCTAGTGACAATGACCAGCTGGGTGATGATGACCAAATTCTGTCAGTGGCAACGCCTTGCTAGTGCTTGGCGTGTTCCCATGAAGGCCATTCTTGCACAGGGGATTTGGGATTTAGGACTCAGTGGACCCACCGCCCTGAGACCTGTATTAGCTCCTGAGGCACACCCGCACTCTGCCTTTTACCCAGTGCCAGGCCCTCTATTGGGCACTTGACAAACATTAACTGCAAGGTAGAAGATGTTCGCCTTTCCTAACAGATGAAGAAATAATTTCAAAGGCAGTAAGCACCCCCTTCTTCTGGGTTACGAAGCTCTCACAACAGGGTGTGAGTGGGATTGGTCTCCACATCTGTGCTGTTTTCTATTCAAAGCTGCTCCCCATCATAATAATTACTTTCACGAGTTTAATTACTGGTTTAAATCTCTCCCCGCTAGACTGAAACACCTTGAAGGCAAGGATGGTAACTTATTCATCTTCAAATTCCCAGAACCAACCTTGGTGATTGGCACACCATAAGCATTCAATAAATATTAGTTGAGTAACTGAGTAATGAATGAACAAATGCGCTATGTTGCCTCTGCCTATTCTGTCTGCCCTCTCTTTCTGGTAATGGAAAGATCAGGAAGCACTCACGGTGTTACCGTCAGGCCACGTGAGAAGGGCTGCTCCTTCCTGTGTGTCTTGTGAACCTTTCAGGGCCTTCCAGTGTATCAGACGCCCTCACTTCTCCCTTGCATTGCTCTGCGGTTTGGAGCTTTGCCTCAGCCCTATGTAGTATAAAAATGGGAAACAGTATGGGGGGTATCTGAGCTTCAGGAAACAGGAAAGACAAGAAAGCAATAGATGATGGGTATCACACACTAGGTCTCTTTCCATGTTCAAAATTACACCATAATCAGAAAATAAGGATTCAAGAATTCACTGGGTTATGCCTCAGTCCTAACGTACCAAAGGACATTAGGAGATGAAAGCCACATAAATTCATTTCTTACCAAACAATCTGTGCTGTCACTCAATCCTCACCAATTTTTTTCTTTTTATTATTTCACCTGTTAAGGTTACAAAAGCACTAATATCTATCTACCACCAAGAAACTCAGAAACCCACATTTCTTATTCTGTATTTATTTATTTTATGTCACAGAGGTGAATCATTTATGAAGCACATAAACTGTGCTTTAGAAAACTCGTGTATCTTTTGATCATCAGACTCATTATGACAACGCAGGAGTGATTTAACAAAAAGGCTCGCCAGCTTTTTGGGGAATTCACATGAGAATGCCAAAAATCAAGACAAGCTTTCTGGGGAATTCACATGAGAATGCCAAAGATCAAGACAAAACTATTCATGAAAGCATTACAAACACAGAAACATAAATATTGTGGACTGCAAACTGAAATCCAGGCTCTCAGGTTAATTTTCTTCAACTACCATCAAATGTAGTTTGGTTTCACAACCGTTAGGGATACAGGCTTTAAGTTTCCAGTAATTTGATACTGTTTTAAAAATAAATACCAGAGAACCACTATAAAGATAGGATGGGTTAGAGCAGGATTTCTATAGCAATTATTCTTTCAATAGATGTGAACGTTATTTATTCAAATCAGTGTGAATTGCCGTGAATTTAAATATTTTTAGGTATAACTGAGCAAGATCTCATTAGGACCACAGGATTTTCTTTTCTCTTCTGACATGTTTAAGCCCTGATAAAAATAATAACAACAGCAATGATGATGATGATGGCCCTTATTCAAATTACCCCTTAGCATCTAACAAAAGAAATTTACTTGTGATAATTTATGACACAAACAGCCTCCATAATAGCAGCCTAAAAAGGAGCATAAGAACATGACCCGAAGTCTATGTGTTACAAGGGATGGACTAATAAAATACTAATTAGCTAACTAATGTCCAAATAAATGAAAAGATAAGTGTTCCTACTCTCTCTCCACTGTGGATACACACACACACAGTGAAGCTCCAAAGGTTTAATTCACCAAATTAACCGTACCTCAGCTGGATCTTCTGAGAGCCTGGTTCACATTAAACATGCTACAGCCCTCAGGCCCTGGTTAGTCATTAGTCTGCTCTCAAACATTAGCAGTAATACATGTACACATTATGTTTCAAATATGACTGAGAAGGTTGGACTTGCAGGGAAAAGCTAAATAGCTAAATGTGTATTCCTGTGAGCAACTAAGGGCCTTGATCTAATTCGAGGAACATTTCTATTTTATTTGCATGTTGATATAAATAAATTGTCAAAGAGAGAGCTCTTCATATTGAGATGGTGAATATTAAAATCCAATGTGGGAAGTATGTGGTGTCCCTGTTTCCACAAAATCCTATGCATATCATAATCTTAATACTGATTTCCTTGTAGAATTATTATCTCCTGAAATGTCTGGCATCATAACTACCACCACCTTCCCTCAACTCCACCCTGCCCCTCCTGTGAGCATTTATTTTTGCTTGAATGTCTTTTGACAACTAAAACCCATTATCACACCATTAGGAACTACCTGAGAGAGCTAACATATTTAGTTATGCCTGAGATCAGATCACAGCTACTATTTATTGAGTTCTTATGAGCACTGACAGCTAGCTATTGAACTACGTGCTTTCTATGCTTTGTTTTATTTGGTTCTCATAATCTCTCTAGGTAGGTACTATTATTTCCCTCATTTTATAGATGAAGAAACGAAGACTCAGAAAGCTCAACTCTCTTGCCTAAATTCAAGCAGCCAGTAAGTGGCAGAACC